CTCTTTTAATATATTTACTTTTAATTAACTTAGGAGATAAGATAATCATTAATCAATATTGCTTAGGAAATAAATTATTATATAATTATATATATTATATATAATAATATAATATATTATAACTTATATATATATATAATTATATTTTTATTTAAATTAATTTTAATGAATATAAGAATATCTAAAAAGAGGGGAATCCATAGTTAGCTTTTCAAGGACAAACCCCTCCCGTTCAATGAACAATATTAAGAAATAAACACGAAATGTTTCGTTCTCTACTCAAGTAATAAGGCGATGCCAAACTGGCAATTTATTTAGGCCAAATATTTGTGAATTGAAGGGACGAGAACCAATGCTGGCACCCCAAATCATTCTGATAAGCTTTTTTTAATTCAATTGAGTGAAAAGCAATTTATGCACTAATTGATACTGACTTGAGTATGTCCCCCGACACCTCGTGTTTATGCATTTAATTCAAAAATTTGAAAAAAATTTTGGAAATTGGCATTATGAAATAAACTCAAATGATTGAAGAAATAAAATTGAAAATTGCGAAATATAAGAAATATAATGCAATCTTTGCAAAAAAAAAAAAAAAAAAAATCAAAAAAAAAAAACTGAAATTTAAAATATATAATAAGAAGAACATTACTTCAAGTCTTTAACAATTTTCGGAATGAAACTTACTAACTATGGATTCCTCTTTTAGATAATTACTAAAATTATCTTAGAGATAATAGAATCAAATTTCTTTGTAAATAGATTATTATAACTTACTTGGCTATTGCGCAGTTCGAATCTTGATTTCGCACTAGTAATTAAGATTATATATATATATATAATATATTATATATGCGTTTCTAATAGATTATTTAGTATATTATTTCCTTTGACAAAAGTAGTTAGAATTCTATTGAAATGAAGTAACTCATTAGCCCATTTAAAATGGATGGATTAGGATTAGGATTATTCAATTATGGCAAAGCACACGAGGGCTATCTGCCTAAAGGGAGGGATGCCTTCGTGGAGGACTTTCTAAGGGAAAGTGGCTCGTATACACGTTACACATGGGGAAAACCCCAAAACGCCCATGCAGCCAGCCCGAATCGAACCTCGGACCGATCTACCAGTGTTCAGCGTCTTACCGCTCGGCCGCTGGTGGGCCCCATTTAAAATGGAATCCTGTACATGCTTAAAATGGAAACATTAGAAAGGTATAATTAAAAGCGGAGATGTAACCAACCAAACTAAGTAATTATCGTCACTGACCGGAAATATATATGTTTAGTTTAGTTTACGAGTGTGCTGCAACCCTCCTGGCCGACAATAATCAGCCTCATGGTTGACGCACCACACCCGACGAGAACAAACAAAAATACAGTTAAAAGATAAAAACAAAAAATTAAAGCACAGATTAAACAGATTAACACAGATTGTGTATCTTTAAAAATACACTCACACAATACAAAATAAGAAAAATCATAAGCATAATCGGTTAAAAAAAAACAAAAAATTGTGAGACGACACATAACTCACTCACCCAACACATAAACTCGTAAACAAAAGAAAAGCTAACATATTTAATATATATATATATATATAGTATATATGTGTATGTGTGGGCGTGAAATATACAAAATGAAAGAATACTAACATTAATTTAGCAATAGTCCTTTTAATTCCTAATTTTAATCTGGCTAGGTCCCCTTCCTGTTTTAAAACTACCAACATATGAAACTTCAGTACGTCATTTGAAAATTAATCCACATTAGTTCATTACATACGAGTAGCACTGCGGATATTTTTTAACCAATTGCAGTTCAAAATCCAAACAAAGAAGCCAAGCCTCTCTTTTTATTAGGTCTTACAACGGTAAAGTCGCTGAACACTGGTATTTCGGACCTGGGTTCCGATTCCATGTGAAGGTGTTGGTTGCATGGGCACTTTTCGTGGTTTCGCCGTCGTGTATCGTGTATACGAGCCAGTTTCCGTTAGAAAGTTCTCTATGATTTTATCTCTACCTTTAGACAGATAGCCAGCCATAGTGTTCTTTACCATAAACTCAGTAAACCAAAGTAACCAGTTTTTTATAAGTTACAGCGGCAGCATGTGGGTAGGAGATGATTTTATGATTCTTGCATGAAATAAGTCTTCTATTTGTTTCTTAATACTATTACTAGCGGCATATGCCCATCAGATGAGTGGGCCAGCCCCCAAAACAAAATTTATAGATATGAATTTATAATTATCTACCCTTGTACAATATAATTATGTACATTTGAAATTTATAGTAATGTATACCTGAATCGAAAATGCGTAAAAACATTTCAATAGGAATAAAAACAATTAAATCTTTCCAAGCAGCAAGCAATTCGTAAATAATGTTTTGATATCAAACCAGGAAACAGAAACTTTTGACACATCAGGTTAATACGTACACGTGTGATGTCATGATTTAAATTTAATGTAATATAACAACTTTTTCTCAATATCAATGAAAGACTTAACGTGGCAATCAGTTATCCTAACCTGAAGCAAAAAAGTTGTCAACAGCAGCTATTACATGCAATCATATGCTTTCTTCAACGCCAGAATATAACCTTATATAATGCCAATAATATGCTTAAGGGGTATCAGAAACACCTATACCGATAATGTTAAATTGGCCATTTTCGATGTACCTTTTCTCAAAATCTGCTGTAGATACAAGCTTGAAATTTTTTCTGTAATTAAAGTATACCAACCTGATTATACTGAAATGAGCTTTTGAAGCATTTTGAATTTTAGAGTAAATTACAGAATATTTTGTTAGGCATAGTAAAATTTAGCACTTTTCTCACACAAGAAAATTTAAAAAAAATATTTTTTTAGGTTTATTACAAAAAGCTCATTTCAGTAAATATTACGAAACCTAATAAATAAGCCATAAAAAGTTTAGGTACCTGTGAGCAGTAGTTCCTGAGAAAAGGTACATAGAGTATAAAAAAAATCACGTTTGGAGAGAAACGCGTTTTTAGGTAAAAATCCTCATTGATCAAAGCAGCAGATGACAAATTAAAACTAGATTTTTTACAGTTCTAATTTTCATAGAGATTAAAGAATGGTATTTTTAGAAAGATAAAAGTGTAGTGAATTTGAAAATGCAAAAATCCGAAATCACAATTTTTTGAAGATTTTGGGGTTCGAACACCCCTTAAACGTTTGGCAATGCTATTTTCATTTCACATTTTGTAATACTTACAAAGTTTACGATTTGAAAGCGAGCAGTGGCAACACTTTTCGAAATAAAGCAGAATTTTATCTCCAGCGAGCGAGACTGTTGCCACTCGGAAAAAAGAGTGCGAAAATTAACGCTTCCAGAGTTTCTGATTGATATCTCGGCTGATTAAAGACATATGAAAATGAAAACGGTCAAAATGGCTTCGCACGGATTTTTAAATCAGGGGATATCGCTCTCGAAACTCAACTGAGAAGGTAATGCCGCAAACGAACAGACAGATAAGAACAGATATTAACAGTGGCAGTGGGAGCCAATGGTCAGGCTATCAATCTAAGGTTTAACCAAGCGGATTTTGTGGCTGGTCAGTAGGATGAATGACTGTCAAAGCATTTTTTTTTCTGATTTCAGAAGAGAAGCCTACAGAGTCACAATTTTTAGTGATGCAGGTCATCTGAGTTACACACGATGTTTGCTACATAGGATATTTAAATTACAATGATATCTTGTTTCGTGATGTTACATTGGATAAAACTGCAGTTATTCTTGAAAGGTTGTACTTTATGTTACATTTCGCGTTTCATAGTAGCATCTTAAGTTTCATTTACATTACATTCTATATTTTTCTTACAATACATGCGTTATGATAAGGTGTAGTACTTTACACCCTAAATTATATTGTACAGTACATTATATACATGCTATATGGTAATAACTGGGGATTATTATGTTACGGTGAAACACCGAAATTTGGAGAATGTCGACTTTCACCGGTGAATGTCAACATTCACATAGTTTCTTGGTGTATGTCCGAAATATTTTCCAAATACTCTTATTTCTGACTTACACCGGTCGATGTCGACATTCACCATGTACTAATGGTGAATTTTGAACATATAACAATATTATATTTTCTTCTCCGTCATTCAGTCGCGAATAAACGCGCTTGAAACTTGGAATAAGAACTCAAGAACATGAGAAACTAAAACACACAATACATTCAAAACGCGAAAGGAAAATAATAGAAGTTAAAAACTTACTTAATTATACAGTACGTTCTAAATGAGAAAATAAAATAACAGTCATGAAAAACTTACTAAATTATGTGATTCAAATCTTATTTATTGCAACAACTTAAACTATTATGGTACTTTATGACCTCTCTTTTCGACTTTCACCAGAGCATATCTGTGATTGTCGACATACACCGGTGAGGGTCCGAATATACAAGAATGTAGTGAAATATTCGGTCTTTCACCGACGTATTTGGTGAATGTTGATATTCTCCGGTGAAAGTCGACATTCTCCAATTTCGGTCTTTCACGGTAACAATTATATTAAAGTACATACATTATATCAGAATACAAAACATTAAATCATACATTATATTATTTAATACACTATGTTTGGAATTACGTTGAATACATTGCATAATATATAATACATTATACTTTACTGCGTTCGCTTTTCACATACTACGTGTCTTTGACATAGTGTACTGGAATACAGAGCACATTATTGGCCTTAGTATACTGTACACTACATACATGGTACTAGTTACTTAGTACTTTATATAACACTGGATTACATTATTGGGTTACATAGTATACATTACATAGTAAGAAATGCGTTATACTTTACTGTGTTCGCTTTTCATAGTTGTGTGTTGATTTTCCTTTCAATACATGTGTTTCTTAGATAGATTTTAATAGTGTAGGCTATCTTTAGTGGAGGCCCTAAATGGTGTATAAGTTTAAAAAGTATTTCTCTCGCTTCTTAGCGTGCCTTCGTGGTGTAGTGGTCTGCACGCTGGACGCCTATTCCAGAGTCCCGTGGTTCGATTCCCGGCGAAAGCGTTGCTCATTTTTCATGATTCCTGCTTCCAAAAAATACCTAAAGTCTCTACAGTGGCGCCCGAACTAAAAGGGTGGTGGATGATGATTCTCCACACACAAAATTTTGTCCCCTGAAAACCCATTCGCCCTTTAAAAAAGGGGGAGTATATAAGGTATTTCTACCATCTTCTTAGCGTGCCTTCGTGGTGTCGTGGTCTGCGCTCTGGGTGCGTATTCCTGAGGTCCGTGGTTCGATTCCCGGCGAAGGCGTTGCTCATTTTTCATGATTCCTGCTTCCAAAAAATACCTTATGTCTCTACAGTGGCGCCCGAACTAAAAGGGGGGTGGATGATGATTCTCCACACCCAAGATTTGGAGATTGGGTCCCCTGAAACCCCATTCTTCCTTTAAAAAATGGGGAGTATATAAGGTATTTCTACCATCTTCTTAGCGTGCCTTCGTGGTGTCGTGGTCTGCGCTCTGGGCGCCTATTCCTGAGGTCCATGGTTCGATTCCCGACGAAGGCGTTGCTCATTTTTCATTATTCCTGCTTGCAAAAAATACCTAATGTCTCCAGAAGCTACAGGAAGTTTTGAAGTTACTATTACTCTTGGAGATTCAATATTAAAACAACCGACATTAGTGCAGCAAAACTTCTTAAAAACACACACATAACAACATTTTATTGCTTTAAAAACAGTTTCCGAGGAAATTCCAAGTAGACAGTTACCGTGATAGATTATGCCGAAACGCAATAATAATATGCAACAGCCCTGCTACCATTCACATCCTATATAAAGTTCATGTTATTTCTTTAGTTGTTTAAGTAGCTCTTTTTTAAAGTTAGATATATGCTTATATATTAGTTCATGCATTGCACTTTCTTCCACGTGGGAAGAACCCATATGTTTCCCAAGGCCGGAAACCCAGTGGAAATCTCCTCCAAACCAAATGGAATAAATGTTCCATTATGTAGATTACGAGCAGACATATATAAAGTTCAGACCTTATGCATTTCGAATGCATGATGTATAATTAACCAGCGGTCAGACTTGCACATAGCGAACAATTTAATATTAAGGGAATGTATATGACATTTTCAAACTCTAAACAAGGAGTTCGAGTTTAGAAGTACTTCAAATAGCATACGCATGTGCTGCGATTCGCTGTCTCGTATGCAACTGCTGTTGTGATTCATTCGTTCTGTTTTAATGATATTTAAGTTTATAAATGATTTTATTTGATGGGTGGCGATGGTAATAATTGCTATCGAATAGGCTGCGGCTCTTATTGCTAATCAGATTTCCTTAAAGTTCGACATCGTGTAGTCTCTTCTGTCATTAAACTACGGAGTTATTCAAAAAGAATGACCCGATTTCGGGTAGCTATATTTTGTTACGGACATCCCGTTTCGTTTTCTTCGGAAGAATAAAATCTAAGAAACGTCTTAAAGACCAGACGTGAATTATCACTATGTCGCACAAAGGACAGGGACTCTTTTACTTGACTCAAATAAAAGTTAACAGAAGATACCACTGCTGCTTGCAAAATATGGTCAGCAATTATGGTTTAAAACAAAGATAAAGAATTTGACTTAATTAAGTAACAGTAAACGATTCAATAAATAGAAAATATTTAATTGAAGCTATGAGAGAATTTGCAATACCTGAAAAACTTATAAATTTGGTCACCATTACTCTTACTGAGACAAAACTTAGGGTTAAAATCCAGAATAATCTTTCTGAGCTTATAGTTGTTTCAAATGGGATCAGACAGGGTGATGCACTGGCCTGCTTGCTTTTTAAAATTGCCCTCCAAAAATCATAAAAGACTCCAATATTAAGGGGGCTCATACACCTTAAACCCCCTAAGATCTTCGAATACGTGACTGTTGCAAGAATTGAGATAACTTATTTATTTTAAAAGCAATTGCTTCCAACTTTTTATGGCTGACTACATAATATAGCTGCTGCTTTCTGAAATTGTAATCAGAACGTTTGTGTTGCCACAAATATTTTTATAATTTAATCCGCTTTGAGACAAAACTTTGCCATGTTTTCACCTTGCGCGCACAGTTTAAAATTATCTGTTGCATTATTTAATTCCGTAGTTTATATATAGCTTTTATAACATTTGGAAACTACTGTAAACCAAAAAAAAAACTGAGAATTTCATGTTAAAGTTTTATTTTATTTGGAGTGGAGTTTATAAAGTGTATTTTATTAAAAAAATCTGTAATGTTTTCTGCATAAAATTTTTTAATATTAAAATATTCATCAGATTTTTGGTTCAGTTAGAAAATAGTGCCCATATAAAGAATTCCATCCAATTTCAAGTATATACCATTAGGCATTTTTAAAATATCATGCGCGCAAGGTGGAAACATGACAAAAACTTTTGTCACAAAGTGGATTAAATTACAAAAATATTTGTGGCAACACAAACTTTCTGGTTACTAGTTTCCAAAGCAGCTATATTATGCAGTCAGCTGTAAAAGATTGGAGGTAATTACTTTTCAAATAAATAAAATATCTCAATTCATGCAACAGTCACATAATTCGAAGCTCATAAGGGGTTTAAGGTGTATCAGCCCCCTTAATACTCGTGGAGCTATCTTTAACAAATCTGTTCAGAGTTTGGGTTTGCTGACGATATTGACTTAGTCTCACGCAATCGCCAGTCACTTAGAGAGGCTTTTACATCTCTAGAGGCTGCAGCCAGCAAAATGCATCTAGCAATCAAGCAAAATAAAGCTAAATACGTGCCATATGGTAATAACAACAATCCCTATTTTGAAATTGGGAATTTCGAATTTGAAACTGTTAGCAAATTCAAATATTTAGCATCAGAAGTTAATTCTCTCAATGATTTAATGCCCAAAATCCGTAGCAGAGTCACATATGCTAACCGATTTTTTTCGGTCTCACAAAATACTTGAAGTCTAACTTCACTAGCAAAAACAACGAAGATTTTTAATTTACAAAAGCTTAATCAGACGCATTTTTACATACTCTGCTGAGACCTGGGCAATGACAGAAAAATCTAAAAGTATTATTTCTGTCTTTGAATGAAAACTTTTGAGAAGTAATTTTGGTGGCATAAAATGTAACAATATCTGGAGAAGAAGAACAAACACTGAACTCTATAAATCCTTTCAAGGAATAGATATAGTAAAATATACAAGGATTCAGAGAATTAAATGGGCAGGACACCTGTACAGAATGGATGAAAATCGAGTAACTAAAAAGATCTTCTCGGCCAGACCATTCAGCACCCGGAAAAGAGGGAGACTTTTTTATTTAATTAATTATTAATTAATTAATTTTCAATCGTTAATAAAATACTTTTTATTCATCAAGTTCAAATTAATATTTTTAAACTTGTAGTGAATGACATTTGATGTTAGTACAGTTTCTTCACGCAATTTCAAAAAATTTGTTTGTATTTAAAAAATTTTTTCTGTTGACCTAAGTAGTGATTGACTTTCAATTTTTTTTATTTAAGTAATATTCAATCGTTAATAAAATACTTTTTATTCATTCACTCAAGTTCAAATACATTTTTTTAAACTTGTAGAGAATGACACTTGATATTAATGCAGTTTTTTCTATGCATTATTAAAATATGATCAATTTTAAAAAGTTTTCATTAAAACAAATTTTTGTAATTTTAAAATTTATTTTTATATTTTTTAAAATTTTTCTTTGTTGACCTAAGTGGGAATTGATTTAATTTTTTATATTACTTTTTTTAAAAATTTAAATAATCTACAATTAATTGAAATATATTTCATATTGTTGATTAAACAATATCATACTCTTCTGTAAAGAAGAGAAACATCCCTATCTCTGTTGCAATTTCTTAAAAATGTCATTTTGCAGCAGAGAAGAGAATTAAAACTGCGAAAAAGGAGCAATGATTCTCATTTCTTCCATTTAAATCCAAAGTATACACTTGGGTACAAACAGAGTTGCTCTTCCGTTACGTCACTGACTTAATTTGCTCAAAAGCAACAATTCCCTACTCTATTTGTGCCTTCATTTCTCCCACTTCTGCACATCATGTGACATCAGTATTGGGAAGAGCCTAATCTTGTTAGTGTACTGACGTAGTTGAAACCTTTGGTTACTAGTTACTTTGCTTTATGGAGTTATTAAACTTGTAGAGTCATTACGTTAATTGGAAGTAGAAAACATGAAAAATATGCAACCGCCTTCGCCAGGAATCGAACCACGGACTTCAGGAATACCGGCCCAGCGTGCTACTGTTACACCACGAAGGCACGCTAGGGAAGTGGGGGAATTACCTTATACACTCCCCTTTTTAAAGGGCGACTAGGGTTTTAGGGGACCTAGTCGCCAAATCTTGGGTGCGGAGAATCATCATCCACAGCTGTTTTAGTTCGGGCGCCACTTGTAGAGTTATTAGGTTAATTGGAAGCAGACAAGATGAAAAATTAATAACGCCTTCGCCGGGAATCGAACCACGAACCTCTGGAATACTGACCCAACACGCTACCGTTACACCACGAAGGCACGCTAGGGAAGTGGGAGCGCCCTTTTAAAGAGCGACTAGGGTTTTAGGAGACCTAGTCGCCAAATCCTGGGTGCGGAGAATCATCATCCACAACCATTTTAGTTCGGGCGCCACTTGTAGAGTCGTTAGGTTAATTGGAAGCAGAAAGGAGGAAAAATATGCAACCGCCTTCGCCGGGAATCGAACCACGGACCTCTGGAATACCGGCCCAGCGTGCTACCGTTACACCACGAAGGCACGCTAGGGAGGTGGGAGAAATACCTTATATACTCCCCTTTTTAAAGGGCGACTAGGGTTTTAGGGGACCTAGTCGCCAAATCCTGGGTGCGGAGAATCATCATCCACAGCCCTTTTAGTTCGGGCGCCACTTGCAGAGTCATTAGGTTAATTGGAAGCAGACAAGATGAAAATTTAACAACGCCTTCGCTGGGAATCGAACCACGGACCTCTGGAATACCGGCCCAGCGTGCTACCGTTACACCACG